ACGATCACTGAATATTGTTGGACCGCGTATGCTTCCAATATGTTCATTTGAACCGAATTCATGACCCCATACCAAAACTTTGTATTACCCTCGTATTACCTTTAACAAAACTGTTATTCTAAGTGCGTCTTTGTCAGTGCAGTCCGGGGAAGATATCGGAATCGATTTGACATACATATATTACTTTGTTGACTCAATTTCCTAAACACCACGACTAATGTGTATGATCGGGGGAGATGGCCGGGACAGAAACATGCCCTGTGGGACACAATACCAATATAAACCCAACATGCCCGAAAAAAAAGTGTGATATGCTAGCCTATAATAACAGTCGGAGGGTATACAAAGTTTCTTTTCATATGATTATTCTATTCATTATGAAATGGGCTCTTAGAGGGCACAAAAGAAGCAGACAGAGTAAATACACTCGGTAAGTCATTCACGTTCGTTCTGCTTGAGAAAGGAAAGCGTGCTTTGAGGAAGTTCAATTGTATAATTACCCGCAAATGCATTCAGTGGACATAAACTCATTCGATTGCTGTGCGAACAGTTCTTTCATGGAACACAGTGCTTATTTTTTAGTTGATAAACATGTATTGTATATCACAGGGCAGTTGTCAAATACTTCGTTATCTGATATAAGTTTGAGTTCAACAGTTTAAGGCTTGTTTATCTTCGGGGAAAGGAAGTATCTCACATTTTCAGAGTTCAAACATTATGTATGATATCTGCGACAATTATTATTATCATTTAACTGCAGACAAATTGGAAACGTACTCCAAGACATAAAGATCGGAAACCGTGAAACCTTGAAAGAGGAAGAAAGTCTAAAGCGTTCATTTTGCTCTATGAATTATGCTACATAAAATTTGAAATGATGGATCTCAAACTGGTTTGCCACTACATGTACATCCCCCTAGTCATCTTCATTTCGGCTCAAGCATCATCGGCAGTGAAAACATATGGTGAGTGAGCTTTTGCATACATCTCTATTTTTGTTTCATGACACTTATATTATGACTCTCAGCCTTGCATTATATATCTGACGCTATTCCTCGAATGACTGTGTATTGCTTTAGCTTTACACTGTTTGATGCTCAGATGCTGCTTAGTGTTTGATATACTTGTTTTCATATATTTTTGATCTGGTCATGTACATGTACGTATTTTTCGCATATTTCACAGGTTTTTTGTTTATGTTTACCTCAGCCAAAATATGCTAATTCGTCTTTTCACAATGTACTGGGGTAACTCGTATTTAGAGTGTCCACTTAATTGGTTTGATTTGTTTCTATAGAAAATTAGTAATTGGCGAAACAGGATTCTTATCATTAAATCACGCATTTTTGCCTAATTACTGAACAACAAAAACGTGAAATATAGAATAAAAAGGAACATACAGTATTACTAATTAACCATATACATATTATGACTAAAGAAACGTGATTTTATTCTCTTCTTTGATAATCGTTTAGATGACCTCTATGTCGGATGCTACAACGATGCCGCTAATCAGTGGGTCCTATCTGATGCCTTATTCACGTCAAATACGATGACAATCCAGTCGTGCATTGATTACTGCACAGGATTGACTGACCCTGACTCTGCTTACGCTGGGGTAGAGTATGCGACAGAATGCCACTGTGGAGTTGCTGGTACGAACTTAAGTCGATATGGAGTGGCAGAAGACAGTGAATGTAATTGGCGGTGTGCGGGGGATGACACTTCTTACTGTGGGGGCATAGGCAAAATCTCCATTTATAACCGTAAGTTCAAGAACCATCAGAACCAATAGTAAATTTCCACAATCGCCCAAATTAGCGTTTTTGTTGTTGTTGTTGATTTTGTTTGTCTAATGGAGAAATATTTTATCCCCAAGGAACATGCACCCGCATGTTATGCCGATGCAAACAATGCAATTCAATAAGATATCATTTCTCTATGGGCAATGTTGACGGTAGATCATCCTTAAAAAATGAACGATTCGAATTTAAGTAATAAAACCATAAGTTTTAAAATATAGCAAAATTATAATTTAGACATTGCATTTACAGATCACCTTTGTGTGATGAAATTGATGTTATAAAACAAATGTTAAATATAAAATCTTGTTAACTTCGCCCTGGACTTCGCTCATCCGGCCTTACTCTCCAATCATCTCAGGGGATATGGAGACCGAGCATTTTCCTCTATCGCTCCTCGCCTGTCGAATTCCCTCCCATCATCTATTCGCAAAATTTACAACCTTGACCACTTCAAAGCTTCACTCAAAACTCACATCTTCCTTCAAACATTCAAATGCTAACTTCATTGGCGGAGCTCGCGCCTGTTTTTTTAAACAGATATATGGCGCCATACAAATGCTGTGAATCATCATCATCATCAACTATCTTGACACATCACACTATACGTGGCGTGTATGTGCTCCTCGTAGCCGTGGTAGGGTGGAGCCAGCCATTGAGGTCACTTGGGTGGTACACGGGGTGGGAATGGAGGGAGGGATGGGTTGGCGGGGGCACATGGACAATGTAAAAAAAAAAACCTAACCCTTTTGTCGATAGTGCATGCATAATTATTACTGAATCTGTTTTATCACTGTTCTTGTTATTTTGTAGACGCGGGAAAATCACACGTTGTCGTTTACATATCATAATAATGGGATCAAGATTTTTTTTTTATTAAAGCTGGTTTTCGAGGGGAATAAAGGAAACACACTGATATTTAAAAATATCTGGTCCTGCTTTCTTTTATATCCAGTCTTATAGTTCTTTTCAGCTATGCCATAACCAAGAGCTTGATTTTCCCGCCACATCTAACATGTCGAACATTTTGCAGTTTTACCGATTAGACCTCCCACAACTACTGAAACATCATCAAGTTCAGTGATACCAACTTCACCCGACGCATCGATGACATTTGACAATCGAACAGAAGAAAGCGATGAGAGCACAACCCCAATAACAACACGTTCTACAAAATCAGGTAGGTACATACTTTTGGCTGACTTTCGCTAGCTATAGACCCTACAAAACATATACCAAATTTATTGAAAGATTTTCCATAAACAAGTTTTATTCGAGCATTGCGCTTGTTTATTACCGACTTTGTTATATGCACTTACTTTACATAACATGATAAAATAGTAATAGTGAAATCTTTTGTTGGGTGCCGTTGATATGTAAAATCACAGATAGTGGGAAAAAAGGTTTTACCTAATAATAGAAAATTAATTTTATTAAATAATGACTGGATATTGTACCAATTCATCGACTTGGTCTTTTTCAACCTACTGTTATGAATACAAGACAGAAATACATGTAATATAATAGTCACTGAAAATGGAATTACTACTTGACAAATCAATGCAAGCATGCCAAAGATCTCTCACAAATACTCCACTCTCTCTCTCTCTCTCTCCCTCTCTCTCCTCTGTATCTCTCTTCCTATCTGTCCCGCTATCGCTTATTACCTGTATATCTGTCTCTCATTACATTTACATACATACAGCACACCTGCTTTATAAAGTTTATCAGGTTTATAGTTTCATTCCCACAGGGAATCTACGAAATGAAGGTGGAATCATTATTTTTTTTATTCTAAACCTTTCCATGAAATTCGTGTATCACATTTCTAATTGATCAATCCGGCTAACATAAAATTATGATAATGCCATTTCTATGTACCTGATTATAATTTGAACAGATCCCTCAACCTTTGCTGGCGTACAGTCTACTTTAATGACTTCGAGTCTTCAACCCGTTACAGGCGACAAAAGCGGCATTGGTATGTACTCTGTTCTTGGTGTTTGTAAAGAATTTGTTTTTGATTTTGGGAGGATTATTGTGGGGAAGGCGATTAGATAAATAAACATCTTATCTCTATAGCTTTTAGAATAGCATTTCGAAAATCGATAGGGCTCTGTAATGAATGCATGTTTCTTGATGTTTGTCCTCGGAATTTAAATAGACAAATTGAGCACCTGACTTTACACTCCAAATACTTCTTACATGTATTTTATCCCGTCATTTTTTTATTCAATTATTTGCTGCATTTTCATTTTCATTTTCATTTTACATTTATATTCTATTTTCCAGCATTATATGCAGGTGCTAGTGGAGGAAGCGCATTTCTTCTGATACTTATCATCATAATAATTGTCTTCGTCACATGTAGACGCAGGTAAGCCCAGTAAGAATGAATCTAATCTCAAAATTATAAATGTTGTGAACAATTTATCTAACCCCGAAAATGAAAATACACAGTGTCTTAAAAACTTATAAGCCCATGGATGCTCGGTCAATATACGAGTTCAGAACAACATAAAACAAAACAAATCAAAACAAAGAACAGGAAAAAAAAAAAAGCGCAGCGCAAACAGTGTTGCTTGGTCAAACTGTTCTGTCAGGTCACATCTGTTATACTTGATGTGTAATTAACATATTCGGTCCTAACTAGTCTCCGTTCTCAAGTTTCACCTTCGCTGTCTACAATTTTCGCAGGTTTTCCTCTAGGGGGAACTTTGTTAGGTAACTCCACCATTTCTAGTGTTACTACACCTACCACTACACAATTTAATGGCATATTTGTTGGTAATCGAGCTTATAAACTTATTCATAGAATATTTGTTTATCTGCTGTCTGGATAATGGTTTCGATTATTATACACATAAACACAAATACAAAATTCAGGTAGAAAATCTTGAATTGTGGAAAAGATCGTTTTGCTTATGACGTTACCTGGTCATATGACCACCGGACTACAAAATCCTTCCTGAATTAATAGTTATAACAACTTATCTAAAATAACATTCTGCGTTCATTGATCGGGTATTCTATTTTTCGGCATCCTTGTGCCCTATATTTTAATATAAACACCCTTTAAAAAAACATTATAGATCCTTTTTTGCGGGGAGGGGATGAAGCACCTGTCCCATGTGCCCCTGGATTCGCCTTCGTGTATTTATGACAAGTATTTCCCCCGATTTTCTCCTAATCTAATAGAAATACAGAGAAGCGATCAGCTGCTACTGACAAACCATTAACAACAATGATTCCTACTAAGGACGACAATAAAAAACGTAGTAGACCTACAAACGAGGAAGAGGATCCTTGTTATGAGAACAAGAGTGCAGAGACGGAACGCGACTATGAGAACATGACCCTGGACAATAGCGAATTAACAAACATGAACTCGGAGAAGAGACCTACCGTGAAAGAAGCAACACACGACCCTGCAGCTCTCTATGCCATGCCTGACATGTCAGCTAAAACCTCATCTCGACCTAAGACGTACACCTCGCCATCAAATGACACAGATGATCCGTCATTAATGTACGCTATGCCAGACAGAAGAGCTAAGACTGTGTACTCGAGCAACAGTAAAGCAGCGCTGGGTGAGGATAGCCTCCACGCGTATGCCACTTCCACGAAAAATCGCTTGGAGCCGATCGGTATGGAGGCATCGACAGATAGGGAGGGCTTGTACGCGCTACCAGACAAAAACCCGCGTGACCACATGACCCAAAATCGCGCCGGGAAGCGTGATGATGTAGAAGCCATGTACGCCATGCCAGATAAATCACGGCGGGGCAATGATGTTGATAACACTGTAATGATAGAAAATGATATCTACAGCTCTACATAGAATGTCATAAGGAAATAGAGAGGGGTAATGGTTTTGCTGCTTCTATTCTACATTTTGTTGAAATAAAAAATGTGTGTCCTTTCAAATGCATAGGCCTATCCGCCCACATCCATCCAAAAGCAAACACACTATATGTTGCCTTTTTGGTTAATAAAGATAGATGAATGCTAGTTAAAGTGCTTTTTAATACAAATGCTATAGGTTGAAATATTCAGTAATCATACTTTTGACGATGGAAATGTGAAATGTATAAACCTGCCCTTTAAAAAAGGATATATGTTGACAACCCTTTGAGGCGATTTTAACTTTGGTTAGTAAAAAAGTTGTCACATGTGTGTATTTTTTATTAATCTGTGCTATGAAAAGAAAAGTGATGTCTATCCGAATGAATAGAAAATGTATACAGATTTGTTCAATTATGGTGAATGGTCCTACTTTTTCATTGATACATATTTTACTATACAAAGAAAAGTGTCTCTGCTTGCATGAACTTGCATTACACGATTATAATGCCTATAACTTGTAGAACACAGGTCTGGAGGTCGAATTGTATTTTTTTAAATAATTGTTATTATAGTAAGGATGATTGCATGCCCTAACAAAACAGGCATCGCATCCTTACATCCTGTCTACCGGTGAAAAATTGATTGGCCTTGTAAATTTAGCTACGAAAAATAATCATAATTTCATGTTTTCCTGCCCAATTAAAGATACAATTGTTAATGTGAGATGTAAATACAAGTTGAATCCTGCTTTTAAAGGACAGCCCTTGCAAAGAAAAAATATAATATCTAGAAAGGAGGTTAAAACACTTACACTATAAACAACAAGCGTGATAAAATATATTAAGGATATAACTGTTCATGTCAGATTTTATATTTTTAAAGCACAACCTTTTCGTAAAAAGATATATCTAAAAAAAACCAGTCCAAATACATACATTATAAACAACAAATGAAAGTAAATGCGTGTATGTACGTACCACAATAATGTCTCGTACTGTATAGTAATTAGGTAGAATTATATTTGATCATTGTAAGGATGATAGCATGTTGTAATCAAACTTCCACCGAATCCTGTCTAACGGCGCAGAAAATGATATAGTTTCGTAAGTTTGATAACAAAAAAATATGATGAATAAACTGTTTCTTATACTCTGTGGCAGGGTAATCGTGAAGTGTAAACATGCTATGTATTCCAGTTTTACAGAAATAGAGACATTTTTACATGAGTTAATGTGTTCATGCTGCCATACACGGAAATGATATAGTTTCGTAAGTTTGTTAACAAAAAATATGATGAATAAACTTTTTCTTATACTCTGTGGCTGGGTAATCGTGAAGTGTAAACATGGTATATATTCCAGTTTTACAGAAATAGAGACATTTTTACATGAGTTAAGGTATTCATGCTGCCATACACGGATGAGGCTGATTTTCTTTTACTTTACATTTATTAGTGTACTAAAAGAGAATAGACATTTATACACTTTATTTTAATAATGATGCCCATATATATATATACAATGCAAAGATTTAAATAAATGAGTCGTTTGTACTGACAATATATTTTATTTTGGTATGTATTTCCTTATTGATGATGATGATTCAATGTCATTTTTAACATATTAACGTTGAGTCTTATAAATGTGAATTTCATAGTCCTACAGACCTTATCTTTGTTCTTGCCTATCAAAGAAACAATCTTATTTTACTCAATATTTATATAATTTAACTATGACATTTATATATTTTGCTTTAGCAGCATCATATTTCCTTAATAAGTTTAAGCACTGTTTTAACTGGATGTCTATACAATTAGAATCAAATTGAAATGTATACGTTTCACGCAAATAGTGCTTTATATTACAAGGCAAATGAATGCTGTCTTATACAAGATAAATCTTCATCCACATGTTTAAATCATACACTGGTATACAAAATGAAGGTTAAAACTTTGTAATAGTTTTCTGTTTGTAATGCAAATATTAATCATTTAATAAATTGGCGCTGGTAATTCTGTTTTCCTGCGTTTATTTACAGTATTGTAGATCTACATAATTATAGACACATTTTGAATTTTCTTACATATGCACATTAAAAGAAGGTCTAATATTTATTATAACACTGTTCGGTTGGGTTTTTAATAAATGGTAAGGCCATGAAACCTATACAAAACCTGATGTGCTGCTCCTTTCCATGGAAAACACATCTTCTTATTGAAAAAACACAAATATCCCTACATCCCAGAACATATGACGCGGTTTCACTTAAAGATTCTAAGGATAGTAATATTTTATGAAAGGAAATGTTTAAACTGTTCACAAGGTTCTGAAACAAATTGTCCTTGTTGCAATCCCAGAAATTGTCAAAGTATCCATATATCTAATCTTGTAATATACCCATTTGGTATCTGTACAGATTTTCACTACCCCCCCCACCCCCCCCCCCAAAAAAAAAGAAGAAGAAGAAATATTCATATAAAATTGTAATCATGTCATAAAGTCATACATCAGACCGGCTAAAAGTAATATGTCAAAAAGACAAATGTTACCCTTTTATTACAATTTTCACACATTTGTTGAGTCAATGAAATTGCCCCAAACGATAATTTCACAAAAACCAAAAGGAAAATGTTATAGCGGCAGATAAAAAGTACATTCCGTAGCAAATATTTCTTCTGTCGGGAGGAAAAAAGAAAGAAAGAAAGAAGATTCTTTCGGAATTTAGTGCACTGACATATAAACTGCAATGAAATCACACTGATTCATGCAATTTCGTCATAAGAATAAACTGGAATATGTATTAAACGATAAAGCGACGACCTTGCTGCCCGAATATTAAGTAATGCTTCTACGATTATTAGTAGCTTCAAAATTCTTGTGATTTATACTCTAAGAAAAGTTTGCAAGCCGTCGTTCAGGAGTCAAAGCATGTACTTCAGTTTACACCTCGGCACCATAAAGAGTATAAAATGGGGTAGATTATCCTGATGTTTAAACTTTATTTGACCCTTTTGTAAATCCGTTGCTCGTTCCCAGGACAAATACACATTTCAGCTATATCACCTGACTGTACTACAACAATGGATTGTAGAGACTGCATTCAAAAGTGATGATAAAAGAACCACATTAAGTAAACAGCAGGGAAATCGGATATGTGGTTAGGGGAATTCCCTTTCGTCATTGTGCTATGATATTGATTAGTGTATAATAGCTTTAATATCCTCTAGATTTCTGATGGTTTAAGGATGGAAAGGTGTGTGATGTGTCAAAGCTTGTTGAGTCTATTTTAGTAAATAAATTTGAAAAAATTGCTCAGTTAAAATGATGATGACAAAAAATAATGACACAACCGATAGAGTGTATTTAAAATCACTTCGTGAAATGTGATTTCCCTATATTTTCAAATTTTGCCATCGCCTTCTGTTAACATTTTTAAATACACCTTTTCGCTATTTCCTTCGGATACTTTTACAGGGATTACTTTTTTAATTAACTTCCGGGATATTGTGAAATGATGCGGAAAAAAAAGTTTAAAAAAAGTGCGATTTTGTCAGCGTGGTCCGGGAACGATATCAGAATCTATTTGCATACATATATTACTTTGTTGACTCAATGTTTTAAACACCACGGCTAATGTGTATGAGCGAGGAGGTGGGACCACAGACTTGCCTTAGTGGGACACAGTACCTTTTATAAACCCAACATACCCGAAAAAAGTTTCATATGGTAGCCTATAATAACATCGAATGGTATACAAATTTTCTTTTCATATGATTATTCTTTTCATTATGAAATGGGCTCTTCGAGGGCACAAAAGAAGCAGACAGAGTAAATACACTCGGTAAGTCATTCACGTTATGCTTGAGAAAGGAAAGGGTGCTTTGAGGAAGTTCAATTGTGTAATTACAAGCAAATGCATACAGTTGACATACACGCATTCGATTGATGTGCGAACAGTTCTTTCACGGTACACAGTGTGTGAATTACAATCAAAATTAAACTTGATAAACATTGTATTGCATTTTACAAGGCAGCGGGGCAAATATTTCGTTATCTGATACAATTGATTTGAGTTCAATAGTTGAAGGATTGTTCATCTTCGGGGAAAGGAAATATCTAACATTCCAAGAGAGAAAACATATTCATGATATTTGCGAATATTATTATTATTGCCATTTACCTGCGGACAAATTGGAAACTTCTTCCAACACATACAGATCTGGAGCAGTGATACCTGTACATTGAAGGAGAGAGAAAGTGTAAAGCTTTCATTTGCCTCTATGAATTATGTCATAGAAAATTTAAAACAATGGATCTAAAACTGGTTTGTCACTACATCCTCCTAGTCATCTTCATTTCGGCTCAAACATCATCGGCAGTGGAAACATACGGTGAGTGAGCTTTGCATATATCTCTATTTTTGTTTCACGACACGTATATTATGACTCTCAGCCTTGCACGATATATCTGACACTATCCCTCAAATGACTGTGTATTGATTTAGCTTTGCACTGTTTGATGCTTAGATGCTGCCTAGTGTTTGATACTTGTTTTCATATATTTTTGATCTGGACATGTACATGTACGTATTTTTCGCATATTTCACAGGTTTTTTGTTTATGTTTACCTCAGCCAAAACATGCTAATTCGTCATTTCACAATGTACTGGGGTAACTCGTATTTAGAGTGTCCATTTAAAGGTAATACAAAGTTTTGGTATGGGGTCATGAATTTGGTTCAAATTAACATATTGGAAGCATATGTGATCCTACAATATTCAGTAACCGTTGTCGTTGTTGAAATCGAGTCTAAAGTAATGAAATTGTAAATAATAAGCTGTTCGTGTTGTATAGCTCCCTCTCAAGGTCAAGATATCAATTTAGCTATAAAATAATGTTTTTTGACTAGATTCGACCGATCGGCTATTCCCATTTGGAAATTATATACCACAACTACATATTCTGAGATTTTCATGGTCGCAGCTACCATTGTTTGGCGCTATTTGAAATTTATCAAAATTTACTGGGAGCACCGGTAATTTTTTTAATTCAAATTTTCTCGAAAGCAGAAGTGTTTTAGGGGCTAAATTTTCTGGTGCTTATAATACATCCACAGGGACATCCAAATATATACAAATTGTAAAGAATCACTATCCAGCCAATTTTTAAAATTTACCAAAACTTTGTATTACCTTTAATTGGTTTAATTTGTTTCTATAGAAAATTAGTAATTGGCGAAACAGGATTTTTATCATTAAATCGCTTCAACTTGTCACGCATTTTTGCCTAATTACTGAAAAACAAAAATTTGAAATATAGAATAAAAAGGAACATACAGGATTACTTATTAACCATTTACATATAATGACTAAAGAAACGTGATTTTATTCTCTTCTTTTGATAATCGTTTAGATGACCTCTATGTCGGATGCTACAACGATGTCGCTAATCAGTGGGTCCTATCTGATGCCTTATTAACGTCAAATACGATGACAATCCAGTCGTGCATTGATTACTGCACAGGATTGAATGACGTTGACTCTGCTTACGCTGGGGTAGCGTTTGCGACTGAATGCCACTGTGGGGTTGCTGGTACGAACTACAGTCGATACGGAGTGGCAGAAGACAGTGAATGTTATTGGCCGTGTGCGGGGGATGACACTACTTTTTGCGGGGGCGTAGGCAAAATCTCTATATATAACCGTAAGTTTTACTACATTCATAACAAGTGGTGACTTTCTTCTATTGCCCTAAGTAGGGGTTGTGCACTGATGTACGTGGCGTGTATATGCTCTTCGTAGCCGTGGTAGGGATGTTTGAATCGTGGA